CAATCATACATAACATGCTAATTTTTGTTACTTTTATCTTAGCATTTGTTTGATTATTTACGGTTGTTATTCCTTATATCAATTTAATTTATCAAGCAATTTAACAGTAACATCTTATTGTTAAATTATCTCAATTTGTGTGCCCTTATATATATATACCATGATTAACAAATTCAATTGTTACTCTAAATAACCAGATAGGATTAAATAAATTTAAATAATAGTACATTCAACATTTAATTGATACTTGGTTTAAAAATAAAAATCAATTTTATAACACAATTTTAATCAAGAGGAGGAAAGATCGATTGCTATAGCATGGATATATTTTCCATCAATACCACCAAATTCTTGGGAAGGAAGCAATGTTCTCATTAGCTGTTGCAGTGGGGAAGCCTTTACAGGTGGACATGGCAACTCAAAACAAGACGAGACCTAGTTGTGCTAGGGTCAAGGTGGAGGTGGATATGATAGGAGAATTCCCGAAAAGAATTAATATAGGAATGAGGAAGAAGACGGGGGAAATAAATGAAAAGTGGATCCCAATTAAATATGACTATGTTCCAAAGTATTGTAAAACTTGCAAGCTACAAGGACACAATGAAAAGGAACATTTCATTATACATCCAGATTTATATCCCAAGGAGGAGGATGAAGAAGAAAACAAAAGAGGATAAGAATACTGGAGGGGATAAGGAGCGACAGGTGGAGGAAACAGAAAGCCCAAGAAAATGAAAAGCGAAAATTGGAGAATCCAATTTTTTTCAAGAACAAAGAAGGAAAAAGGGGTACATAAAGGGTGGATATGTAATGTGTGGTAAAGGGGAGTAGATTTGGAATCCAAAACAACAACAAAATGTTAAAGTCGAAATCACCAATAGGTTTGAAGCTCCGAGGGACAATGAATCTTTACCAAAGGAAGGAAATATTAAGAATGGGGAAGGAATAAATTCCAAGGAAGATACATCACATGAGAATGAGGGAAACATGGAAGAGGAATTGAAGGATTATGATGCGACACTGGAAGAAAAGGAGGAAACCAAAACCCCTTTGGTTTCTAAATCAAAAGGCAGTCACGCAGATGCTTACAGTGGAGTAAAAGACTCAGTTTACAGAGATAACAGATCCCAAAGTGTATCGCCTTCATGTGGGTAGCCAATAGACACAGAAAGGGAAAAAGTCAAAAGTGTGGGTGAAGAAGAATGGTGTAGCTAAAGTTCCACACACAGTACAAGAGGAGGGACAAAGTCAGACAGGGGAGTAAGATACTCATAACCTAATATAGGAGATAGTGAAAACGCCAACTATAAATAAGATGACAGAACAAGAAAAGAAGAAGAAACAAGACACATAAGGGGATGAATGCACAGAAAGGAACATTGCAAGTATATGGCCAGAAGGGGATTTATCACCAAGGCAAATTAATCAGTTACAGGGGAGGAACAAAAAAGGAGAGAAACTACAGACACAATCACAAATGAATACAAGGAGCAAGAAGGGGTCGGCATCCACCACTAATCAATGATTAATAAAATACTATTATGGAATATTAGATCAGTAAGAACTAAAAAATCTTTTGAGAGACTTATTGACCTACATAGGAGGAATCAATACTCATACATTGTTATTTTAGAGCCTTTTAAAAATCTAGCAGACCTCGAGAGGTATAGTATAAAATTGGAAATGCCCAAAGCAAAGGTGAGCAGCTAAAAAAAAATTGGATTTTCTGGGAGGATTATTGGGAAGAACAAGAGTATACTGACACTTGCCAACAACTCACGATCAACTTTCAAAAAAAGGGAACCAATGAGGTTTTCAAACCATAAGAGTTTTAATTAGGAAAGAGGAAAGATGAGCAAATTATCAACTGATATGGAGTAAAGAGATACCTTTTAAGATGATTTTTTTCTAATGGAAACTCCGGAAAAAAGAATTGCAACTGATGACAATAGGAAGAGGATGAAAATTCAGATAGTGTCTAGATGTTGGTGTTGTTTGGAGACAGAAGAGGAGACAATGACACATGCCTTTCTAAGAACCCCCCCAGTTTTCTAATCCTACAAGTATACACATGGAGAACATGCACTTACAACAACTCATAATAACTCGGTGGAAGCAGAATCAAAATGCCAAATTGAAGGTGGTAATGAGAGCAATGCTAACAATTATTATGTGGACATTATGGAAAAGGAGGAATAACTTGAAGCATGGAGGAACCACCACATACAATGAAATGGTGATGTAAGTGCAAGAAGAGGTGATAAAACTCATAAAGTTGAAATATCCTTGGTTATATATCAGAAAGGAAACATGGCCTCAACTTATCTCTAAATTGAAGGAGTATAAACCTAGACTACATCACCATTATGTACTATGGAGGAAACTTGATAGAAATAAAGTGAAATAAAATACAGATGGGGCAGCAAGAGGAAATCTAGGTGCTAGTTCAATAGGTTTTGTAGTGAGGGATGAGGAAGGTGACCTTATATATGTGTTACGCCCCGACCCTACACCCTAGGAGGGACTAGCACTTGAGAAACATTATTGGCCCCAAGCGAACCCTTGGCCTTACTTATTTACTCAGCGGAAGACTCTAAGCATTATTACAATGATCAATTGCACATATAAATAACGGTCTCAAATTAAACTCAGAACGTTTAAGGATAAAACATTCAACTAGCCATAGATGGAAACTCAAGTCTTAACATAAGAAATAACAATGTAAAGACAACTGAACTACTAATTGTCTATGAAGCCTCTAAAACAAGGAAGGTGTAACACCCCGGAAACTAGCAAGTTGAACTAGTGAGTTCTAGAGCCTTTCGTAAGAGGTTTGGAGTGTGGTATGAGGATTAAAAGTTGTAAAAATGATTCCCGTACTTAGAATGGAGGTTTAAGGGTAAGGGCGTCAAGGTACGACCCCCAAGGGGTCCTTGAGGAGGACCTCAAAACAGCCCAAAAAGCTGTAAAAAAAAGCACCTACGCTTGGCCACCTACTGGCCATAGGTGGACCCACGACCCATAGGTGGGGGTCGTGGGTCAAGGCATGAAGCTGGCCTGCCTTCTTAGCTGCAGTGACTATCTACGAAGTGACCAGCATGGCCCGTCAACCCAGTTTTTCAAGTTTTAGTTTTAGTTAGGAGATTAGGGAATTAATTAAGTAATTAGTTAAGGGGTTAGGGAGGTCGGTTAATGAGTTATTAAACCACCTATAAATACCTAATAAGACCCTAAACTAAGTCATTAACTCATTCATCTAAAGAACTCACTTCCTCTCAAATATTTCTCTCTCTAGAAGCAAAGAAGAAGAAGAGGAAGAAGAGGGGCAACAACCTAGGTCGAAATTCACCAGTGAAATAAGATTTCTTTAGGGATTTGAGTTGAGGTATGTTTATATTATTTATATATTGGTTCTTCCCCATAGACCCCCCTTAGTTTTCCCCCAATTGTGAAGTTAAAAATCCAATTCTAGCTAGGGTTGTGCTTGCATTGTGGGTAGGGTTTGGGTATGATTCCAATCTAGTGGATAATACCCAATTATGATTGATTTATATTTGTTTAGTGATATTATGATGACTTCATGTGATTTCTATGGTAAACCCTAGTCTAATTAAATTGATGAATGTGATATTTGTGGGTTTATGCCATTAGAGGTGAAATTGAAGGTCCAAAGGTTATCTTCCTAAATCAATGTCATGTATAGTAATTGATCAAAGTTAGGATCATATAATCATGAATTTAACTAGACTTTATTGAATATGAAGGATCTTGACTTGTGAAGATGAAATTGAACCTCTATGATGAATTATGACTAGAATAACCTAGTAGTAAAGAATGTGATTGAATAACATGTAATTTAGACATGAATGAAGTTAAGCTTGAAAAAAAGCCTTGTAGCCATCAATGGTAGGGATTTGGGGGTAAATCCAATAATATGTGATTGTGTTGTGTATTGCTTTTCTCTAACACACTTAGACATAAAGATTCTAGGAGATCCAAAGGTTCTCTCACATAAAAGGATTCTAGGTTGGCTTAATAACCTAAAATGAATCAAAGCATGTTAGACTAGAATAGAATGAAGTTCTGATGTATGATCCCTTCATGTATAGGTTGGCTTAGTAGGATAAGACCAAGATTGGTAGCCTAGGATTGAGGATTTATACACTCCTATGGGTAGGTTGTACTAGCATTGTTATGATTCCTTCATGGTAGCATGACTTTGTTTGGCCAAGACCATTTCATGGTAGCTTTAGGATTGAGGACTTATACTCTCCTAAGGGTAGCTTAGGATTGAGGATCCATACTCTCTTAAGGGTAGTTTGCCGTGGCATTGTAAGATGCACTTCAAGGGTAGCTTGAGTTAGGTTAGTCATGGTATCTTGGGATTGAGGACTCATACTCTCCTAAGGATAGCTTGCATGTGTATCATAGTATACTTGTAAGGGTAGCATGACTTAGTTGGTCTACGAGTATTTCATGGTAGCTAGGATAGGACACTTGTACCTTTCCTAGAGTAGGTTGGACTTGCATGATAGTTTGTCTTCCAAGGTAGTTAGCTTAGCCTAACCAAGTTATGTTGGTAGGATGATAACATGGTCTAGCGTATTATGGGGTTAATCCTCGGTAGCCTTGAATAGAGGCAAATAGAATAGAGAGACTAGTCCTCAACTAGTGATCATTCATAATAGTCTAAAGGAGTACTTAGTGTGGGTAGTAGTATGGGATGCTATCCATACATTGCACTAGTATGACTTATGGTTAGGTATGAAGGGTTCCTACACATAGTATAGACTTATCTTGGGTTGTTGCTGTCACGCCCCAAACTAGAGAAGGCGTGACAGGCACTCGACACTTTAAGCAATCGAGTTAGCCACATAAACATACCAACTGACTCAACGGACATTTAGAAGGTCAGGCAGCATAACATTTAAAATACTATGACTGGACGCTTAAGGTCACAACCTGAATATCGATAAGTCATATAGACGAAGATAGACAAGCCAAAGATAGTAAGGTACCTGCTAGCCGACAAGGCTACAATGAAGATATACACACATACATACATATCTATACATGCCAAGCCTATGTGGCTAGAAACTAGAAGCTGCAGAAAGAAACCCAGAATACTGTGTCCATAATAGCCTCCATGAGTGACATAAGCACTGGTCGGGACAAGGCCCCGATTATACCCAAACAATACAATAAAAGTAACATCCTATGAAAGCTCCAGGAAGAAGTGGAGCTTACCAACTCATAGTTGAACCCCAAATCCTAGTAGAGGGGTTACTCAAAATCCTTACCTGGACCTGCACGCACGAAACAAAAATGCGTCCCAGGCAACGGGACGTCAGTACGAATAAAAATGTACTGGTATGTAGGGCAGAAAATATAATAATAAATAGTTACTGTAAAAAGGGGAATAAAGATACCACCTGAAACAGAAACTCCGCTGACATCAAACCTTATATAGATTAAATATGCATGGTATGCTCGCATAATCGTATGTCGTGAATATATATATATATATGTATATATGTATATGTGTACATATACATATATGCATATGTATATATATACATATATACATATGTATATTACATATTTATATTACATATGTATATACATATGTATATATATATATATATATATATC